CTCCCTTTTTTTTTTTTTTTTTTGTCTGTCTGTCTTGACAATTAAATTTGTTCATAAAAAGGTGAAACGTGAAGAACTACAACTGCCTTTGCTGATTCTAACCTTCCATCACAAGAAATCCAAGGCCACCTTTTTATTATTTTTCAAATACTGCTTTATATTGACTACGTTAAACAAAACCCCTTTCTTATGTAGAATGATTTCTATGCACCATGCCGCTTCCCCTTTTAACTCGGATTTATTGGATCTGTTAGCGTTTAATTAATATAAATGAAATCAAACCAATTGTCTTGATGCAAATCTTTGTCATAACATAAAATTATTTGAAGTTGAGGTGGCTTATGGGATGAGTGAACTTATAGCTTGAGATTATGAAATTTATGTACCCTAAATATAAATTCAAGTTTCACAAATTAACCATCTATTTTTTGCTTCCTATTTTAATTTTTTTGCTTCGGTCAAGATTTTCCTTCTCCTCTTCCACCACTTAATCGTGGATTTTTATTACCAATTTGTTTTTTTGAGAAGCCGAAGTGATCCAACTGTGAAGGAAAGCTTTATAATTATGCCGTCCTTTGCCTTCTTGGCGTCCATTTGGCGGCCATGCATTGGTGTGTGGCCCACTCTCTTAACCTCCGCGGCTTATGATATCACAATCTTTGCGTACAAGGACTACCCACCCCTTATTATACTCTCACATTAATTTTAACTAAAAAAAAAAAAAAAAAGGCTTTGCTTCAGAATTTATTTTATCATTTTATTATTTTTATATTAATAATACGCACGACGACGGCGGGTGAGGCAAGCGCAGGCCGGCGTGGCCTTGCATGCGTGACACGTGTGAAGGAAGATTGACCTGTGATTAATAAATCATTAGATTAGAGGCGCCAATTAATTGACACCACTTATAATTTGTTTATGCTGTATTTAAGTCCAATCAATGTACGTTGTATTCTGTATGTTCTTGGATTTAAGGATGAGTGACTTTTTTCTAGTTTTTCAGAAATTCGTTAAATGGTGTTTCCTGAAACAAGGTTTTCTCTTCGTGGGTTTCTTCACAACTGGGAAGCCCACGGGGGACATTGCTCTGACATTTGGAACAATGAAAGTTGACTTTTTTTTTCCCTTTATTTTCTTTTAAAATTAGAGATTAAAGGATTCGAATTCATAACAAAATGCTTTGAAATGGAATTTGAAGATTTATAAAATCAGCATATATACTCAGCTTAGAATTGTTGGAGACTCTTTCTGATTTCAACCAAATAAATAAAAAAAAAACCCAAAGTTGAGGAATTTGGTTCTGTTGTAATTGTTTATTTTAATTGTCAGAGTCAATTCTTTTTTTTTTCTTCTTCCAAAAATAAAAAAACAATAATAAAAAGAAAAGGGGAAATTCTTCGACAAAGCTAATGTCGCATTTATACTCCTCCTTTTCCTCTGACCCTTTCCACCAAAAAAAAAAAAAGAAAAAGAAAGAAAAAAGAAAAAAGAAAAAAAAACAAACTCACAACTGCATGGGTTGCTCAATGATGGAGCGTTTAAAGTTATTAAGCAAAAGAGGCAGAGTATTATTTGGTAGGCTATTAAGTAACACAGTTAATTCCCAAATGACTTCCAGATTTGGATTTCATTTCTTTCTCTGCGTCAACTAACAACAAGTTAAACGCCGATTCAGTTTGTTTGGTCTCTTTTTGGCTTATGATTTACCGACCACAAACCTCAAAGCTACAACACCTTCTTCTTCCTTTCATGGTTGTTATTCTGACATGGGAAAGCAGACAAAGGAAGGTGTCTGAAGCGAAGATAAAAAGATACGGACTCCTTTAAGATTTTCTCCTCAAGTAAGGGAAGGTGTTGCAGCTGCTGCTGCTGCTGCTGCTTTCTTCATGATCATCCAATTCATTATTTGAAATCTCCGTGAGTCCACTGGAGCCTGAAGATGAAGAAGAAGGAGCCAAATTCAAGTCTGTCTCGCCCCTTTCCTTTCTCATGAACTCATAAAACACAGGCTTCCCAATCCTCCTTGCCTTTCTGTTGCTTATTGCGTCCTTCTCCTCTTCGCTTTGTTGCCCATTTCTTTTCTTCAGAAATATGCGACACAGAACCCAATTCTCCATTGGAGCCACACAACTCTGCAAAATCCACCAATACAAACCAATAATACCCTTTCCAACCCAGCCTATGAACCACCTTTTCTATTTTATTAAGCATATCATACCCCATAACCCATAACTTTTTAAGCTCATTAGTACTTCAACATCATATCAGCATCATTTTAAGCTCAATATAGTGCAATTTAACATGATATCTGAGCAATGTCCTAAACATTTTCATCCAAATGAACAAAGCCCAGAAGTTTAAATCACCTGAAGGGTGGTTTTTTCCTGTGCGACATTAAAGCAAACCACTGGTGGAGAAGCGAGACGGTACTCGTGCATAATCCAATCGGTTCTAGACCCATGGGGCGGCTTTCCTCTATAGAAAACCAGAGTTTTCTTCAACCCCACCACTTGGTTTGCCTTCGAAGCCAGAATTTGTTTGTCGATTCCGGTGGCCTTCCAATACCCCGACGCCGCCGCTCTGTTTGATCTGTTCCCATGTGGGTACTTAGCTTCTCTCGTGCTGAAGAAATACCTCTCTTGCTCCATGTTCCCTGAAAAAAAAAGAAGAAAAAAACAAATTCCCATTGAATAAAACAAACCTAAACAAAATCCCAAGTCCCAATTTAGGCGAAATTCCGAAAACAGGCGTTTAAGAAATTGGGGGAAATGAAGTGGTTTAAACTAACCAGGCAAATCCCATGGATCGGCCTTGCAAACGTCGACGTCAGGGATGATTGAGGCCGGTAAAGGGCAGGAAAGAACCTTCCGGTTCAAGTATTGAAGCACAAGCTCTTCATCCGTGGGGTGGAAGCGGAAGCCAGGGGGCAATCGAAGGACGCCATTTTTGACAAAATTAAGCTTCTCCATCGGCGCCCAAGAAGAGGAAGACGAAGACGAAGAAGAAGAAGAAGCGTGGGAGGGTGATGAGGAAAGTGAAGGTTCTTTATAGTAATGGGTGCGCTGAGAAGAGAGAAAGGAAATGGGAAGTGGACGCATGTTTTGGCGTAAACAACACTCAATCTCCCATTTTCTTTTTCTTTTTCTCCTTTTATTATTAATTTTTAAACCCAAACAACCCATTCCCATTTGAATTTTGCAATCCCTTCATTATTATTAAAATTAATTAGGTTATTTTTTGGTAATTAAGGAAGAAAGAAAGAACAGAGAATATTTGTTTGAATAGTTGAAGAATGGTTTTAACATATTTGTTGTGTGCCTCCTCTCGGCTCTCATCTCGCTCCTTCCTTGCCTTCATTACTTGACCCTCTCCACCACATCTCAAACTAACAGGTTATTGTCATTGTTTTGTTATACATTTTGTTCCATCACAAGAAATTTCAAGTGTTTTAAGTTTCTCATGATCAACTGGAAGCAGAGGTGTTGGGGATGGGTGGGTGGAGGTGTGTGTGTGTGTGTGTGTGTGTCTCTCTCTCTCTCTCTCTCTCTCTCTCTCTCTCTCTCTCTCTCTCTCTCTCACTGTGTGTGTGTGTGTGTCACATATTACTATTACTATTATTCTTATTATTGTTATTAGGTCAGCCCAAAAGGTAGGAGGTAGGTAGGTAGATGGGCTATTTGTCCAATCCATTCTCTCTTTTTCTTTATTCTTCTTCTTGTTGTTTCAGTTTTAGGAAGAAATGAAGCCTTTTTGTGTGTGAGAAAGATAAAGAAACAGAAATGGTAGTGTTGAAGGGTACATGTAAAAAACTCTTTTTCTTTCTTTACTCAATCAAATGGGAAATGGGAAAGAAAGGAAGGAAAGATCCACCCGGCATGGGCTTTCCCTTATTTGTAGACAAATAAACAAACAAACAATTTTATGCTTTGCTTTGCTTCGCTTGCTTGTGGGATTGGGTTTTAGATGTCAACTTCATAAACTAGCATCAACTTATTTACTTACTCTTCACTCCACCCTATCAGCTCTTAAAGTTGTTGTATTATTAAAACAAGCAATCAAAAACCACTTGTTTACAGTAAATACAAGGCTGTTTACAATACGCAAATATAACCACTTTTTTTTTCTTTTTCTTTTTCTTTTATTATTATTAGGAGAAGATATGTGTGTGTGCGTGCGTGTGTGTGTGTGGGAGGCAAGGAAAAGCAAACCAAAGCAAACCAAAGAAAATGAAAGCAAATGGGTCGGGTGCATGATTTTGAGGTCACTTACCTACCAATCCTCCACCTCTGTCTCTTCATTCAATCTCTCTTTCTATATAAACCAAATATCATCTTCTTCTTCTTCTTCTTCTTCTTTAAAACAATATCCTCCATCAAACACACAGAGAGAGGGCTTAGGGTTTGCTGCCCAAACCCACCCTCTGCTTTGTGCTTCACAACAACACAACAACAACAACAAACATCAACATCAACATCAACTCAACTCTCCTGTGCTGTTCTTCTTCATTTGCTTAGAGGAAGAAACAATGGCCCTTTTTCACACTCCCCATCTCTTAGTTTTCACTTTTGGCATTCTTGGTAATCATTCAACCATTCCCTAAAACTATCCTAACCCACAAATATATCATTATTTTAAAATAAACTCTAATAATGCATTAATGGCTTCTCAACCAACTTAACTTAAAAACTTTTCATTTGCAGGTAACATCGTTTCCTTCTTCGTCTACTTGGCTCCTTTGTAACTCTCTATCTCTCTCTCCCTCTCTCCATATTTCCCTTTCAAATTCTTACCACACAAAATGTGTATATTTAGATGCTCTTCTTTTTTTTACAAATTCCATTCTCTCTCAGGCCGACATTCAACAGAATATGGCGAAAGAAGTCGACGGAGGGCTTCCACGCGCTGCCATATTTAGTAGCACTCTTCAGCTCCGCCCTGTGGCTCTTCTACGCCTTCCTCAAAACCAACACTTTCCTTCTCATCACCATCAACTCCTTTGGCTGCGTCATCGAGTTTCTCTACTTCCTCCTCTTTATTCTATTCGCCACCAATCCAATTAGGGTCCGTTTTCATATCCAACTGCATTGCTACCATCTTAAATTTCTGCCTTCTTAACAACTTCTGTGATTTCGATTCTTGTAGATGATGACCATCAGACTGTTTGCTGTGATGAACATGGGGCTGTTTGGGTTCATCCTTCTTGCCATTCACTTCATTCCTAAGCCTTCAAACCGTGTTCAAGTTATGGGCTGGATTTGTGTGACCGTTTCTGTCTCTGTTTTTGCAGCTCCGTTAAGCATTCTGGTCAGCATTTACAATTTGTTACAAATTAATTTAAACCCTTCCCTTTTGTTTTGGTGTATTCAATATTTGGTTTTCTTGTTCAAAGTGGAAATTATTGTGTACTCATTTATTTAGTGCTGTGTTGTTTTCAAAACTTTCCCATCATGCTAACATTTCATTTCCAAATCATTAACTAACATTTTGTCTTATATGTAAAACAACACAACTTACTCTCTTATATTATTTTACAATACTAGATATAATTTTGTATCCAGTAATCATTAGAATTAGAGTTAGAGTTAGAGTCAGAGTCAGGAAGGAATTTGGTCATTATATATCTTTTTTTTTATGGTGCAGAGACAAGTCATTCGAACAAAGAGCGTTGAGTACATGCCATTTACACTCTCATTCTTCCTTACATTGAGTGCCATAATGTGGTTTGCTTATGGTGTTTTCTTGAACGACATATGCGTTGCCGTAAGTGTTGTTTGATATCAAATGTATATTAATCTAGAACTGAACTGGAAAAGGTATTAACTATGGTTTTGTACTTTTGGGACAGATTCCAAACGTGGTGGGGTTTGTATTGGGGTTGGTTCAGATGGTGGTGTATGCACTTTACAGAAAGGGAAGAATGGAAGAAGAGAAGGTAGCAGAGGAAGTAAAAGGCAGAGCAGTGGTAGCTGAGGTTCATCCTGTGAAGGCCAACGGAAATGACGCACAAAAGGATGTAATGATAATAATAAAGGAGGAACAACTTCATGAAACCGCAATCAGCTGTGACAAAAGCAATATTAATCAATCTCCACTTTAGTTCTACCTTACATCATCATCATCAAACTTTCTGTTGTTGTTGTTGTAATTTCTATACCATTTGGGAGTGGAGTGAAGAAGAAGATGATGATGATGATAACATCAGCAACAATGGCCCTTTCCTTTTACCTACTACTGCTATTATTGTTACCTTTGCTTCATTTCTTCTCTTATATATCAACTATTAATCACATCCCATTTTCGTCTCTTTTTCTGTGTCCTTGCACATTTAATTATATAGTAATAATATTGTTAAATGATTATGAAATGATTCCACGCTCACCCATCACATCCCCCATTATGAGAAGAAGAGAGTACCAAAATTGGCTGATTCAAATAGTTTTGTGCATCTCTTTTGGTTGTACTCTGCAGAGTTGATCATACAGGACATAAGCAAATCAAACAACCCGACCCTCACCTTTTCAATTATTTTTCCTTTTCCTTCATTCTCAGTCTCTCTTTCTACAGTCTCCTCCACCATGCTTGCCTTTACTTCTTCTTCTTCTTCTTCTTCTTCTTCCTCATGTGTAGGGTTAATGGAATTCATAAAACAGGAAAATTTTAACCCAACAAAGTTCAGAAAAAGTACTGACCAAGTCCCCAAGGAACAACCCAACCCCTACATCAATTGCCTTGCTGCTCACCATGATGATATAGAAGCCTGAATAAGCCCTCCTAACATTCCAACTTATTCCGTTCTTCCCCGACCAACCCAACCAAACATAGTGCAGGAATGAAGGAAGGAAGGAAGGAAGGAAGGAAGGAAGGAAGGAGACAAGGTAACAGACCTGCTCATGCCTTGTGCATCTCTTCCTCTAACTCCATTACTTACCCATTCGAACCATCAAAACTGCCTTGTGCGCTCTGTCGCCTTTTTTCTCGCCAATTCTCTCCCCACATCTTCGCCTCAGCCACTGCACGTTCTCTCTCTGAATCCTTATTCAAAATCCTACCATTCTCCCTTGGGGACTCGTCCTTCCCCGGACCATCCAACGTCCACCTTCGTTCACATGCTCCCCCGTCTTCATTCTTTACTGCAACTTTCTCGTCTCTGTTCCGTCTTTCGTCCCGATCACCAGAACCTCTCTGAGCAGCAGCAGCAGTACCTGAAGGAGAACTTGGATCGTAGGATTGATTTGCCAAGTATGACAGGGCAGTGACCACGTCTCCAATCAGCGGACGGGCTGCAGCCTGTTCTTGGGTACACATGGATGCCACAGCTAGAGCCTGGTACAGACCTCGCATGGGATACCGCCCCTGCAACTGTGGATCAGCCAATTTTGAGAATCTTCTGCGGTCATTAAAAAATGGGCGTGCCTGCATTGCATAAAACAAGAGTAACTATAATTAGCATGCAACAAAACACTGTTGAACATGCCTAAAAAATCAGTACACATATCATCAGGCTTACCCATGTGACAAGGTTCTGTTCGCCTTGGGGCCGGGTGCTATCAATGGTTCTCCGTCCAGTTATCAACTCTAAGAAGACAACACCAAAACTATAAACATCAGACTTGACGGTCAATTGTCCGGTCATGGCGTACTCGGGAGCACAGTAACCATAAGTTCCCATGACCCTGGTGGAAACATGAGATTTATCTCCAACAGGGCCAAGCTTGGCAAGGCCAAAATCAGAAAGCTTTGGATGGTATCCTTCATCAAGTAATATATTGGAGGATTTGAAGTCTCTATAAATAACTGGAGGGTTTGCCTTGTCATGCAAGTACTCTAAACCTCTGGCTGCACCAGCAGCTATTTTCATTCTTGTGTTCCAATCTAGGGGTTCCTTATCAGGTGGAATTTCTGATTAAGAAAATAAAAAACATAACTAAGTTTATCATCGATCTGCGACGAAGAAGGCTAAAAATATGCATAGTTTTCTTGAGAAGTAAAATAACATTGGTCATGGAGACAGTTAGAACAAGAAGCTATCCCTAAATCCAAGAAGATTGCAGAATCCCATTCCAATTGGCAGTATAAAGTAAGAAGAATTACAGACATCCTTAGAGAGACAGAGAGACAGAGAGAGAGACAGAGAGCTTTATCAGAAGGTAAACATTTAACAAGGAAGACAGCATGTGTCCAAATTGGTAAGCCCTAAGCTAAGAATAAAAACATTAAGAACCATTCCTATTGGTTCATTCTTTTTGAGAGGATAAGGAATGTTATTCTAATTCTCCCATTTTAGTGCGGTACTTGCTACTGCCATCTTTTCTTTTTAGTATTATTTTATCCCATTTTCTATCTACTTTTTTGTAGGTCTCACACCAAATTTCACTCATCAGTAAAAACAACATCCATCATCATAGTTCTCTACATTTAGATTCTGATTCTAAAGTAATTTCGATAATGACAATATTAAAAACTTAATCTACTTGTTATTATTTCTCTTTTCAATTGACTTTTACTCCACTGCTACCTTATTCCTATTTTTATTAAACAAATGATGAATATATGATCAAGCATGTAACAGTAACAACACTCTTTTCATGGACATTTCTACAAGGTAATTTCACATAATATGCACATAATTGAAGTAATAGCAGTTACATTGACGATAGGATCAAATAGCAGCCCCTGAGCTTCATTTCAAATTGCAGCTGAATCAGAGTAGACATTCTTACAAAAGAATGAATAACATTGGAAGCAATTCATAGTTATGAACAGAGCAAATAAGTGAACAAGAGGTCCTCTTTCATATGCGAAGTCATTGATTAAATACAAATTTATGTCCATAACTTCCAAGAACTAAAATGAAAAGGTTTGTTTCAATTTCACCAGTATCTGTTGAATTGCACGTTATAACTCAAATAAGTAATGTGGATCCATAAAATCTATTTCAGCTCATAACATGGAACTGTACTTCAACCCAGTAGTCCCCTGGTCTAACTACTAGCACGCTCTTTCATCAGATAGAAGGGTCTAGCTTTAGGGCAATTAGTAGTCTAGCTACAATTTGACGTAGGTTGAGAATCCTTGAATTTAAACGGCAATCTTAATTAAAGTGATAGAAGATGTTATTTTCCAAGAATCAACAAAAATCCAGTCTCAACTCGACCCCATTACAATATTATTTTCCAGACTAAATCCAATCGTAAACTAACAAGCAAAATGGAAAAGTAGTAAGAATCACAAAAGTGCATCGATGAGAGTTTAGACCAGACCTAAATTAACATACAAGAATATAGAAAAGTAGAAAAGGCATACAAGAATTCGAACCTCTAACTAAATTGTAGAGTGTTGGATAAAAATAATTCCTGACAAAATTATTCACACACACACACACACACACACACACACAGACACATAGTTCATCATAATTATAGGTTTTCAAGTCAGCAGAAAACTTTACCATGAAGATGATCTTCCAATGATCCCAAAGGCATGAACTCATATACAAGAAGCCGTTGATCCCCATCTGCACAGTAACCAATCAGATTCACCAAATTTGGATGATGTAGAAGGCTAAGCATGAGAACCTCCACTAGAAATTCTCTGTTTCCTTGAAGACCATTCCTATCCAACTGTTTTACAGCAACAATCTGCAACAACACGTATAAATCAGAAATTTGTATTGAAAGGGGACTATTTGGAAATCAAAACTAATTATTTTCATCCCTCCCACTTCACAAAAATCAAGGATAAATGCAAAAGACAAAAGATCAAATTTTCAGTGGAACTAAAGCTGCCTGTACTAGGTAGAAGAAACAATTTGGTCGTATTGTGTAGACTGATAACCCAATGGATTACTTTGATGCTTTAGAAACATAGACGCATAACCTGGCCTGAGCTTTCGAGGCGCCCTTTGTATACACGTCCAAATCCTCCTTCCCCAATAAAACACTCAGGTCTAAAATTCTTGGTTGCGATTGCAAGCTCCCGGAAAGTGAATGTTTGAGCAGAAATATTGACAAGAGGCCCATCCTTGGGATTCTGCTGTTCCCTTTTGGAACCACCATTGCCTTTTGATCTAAGTTTGTCTATTCCTGCAAGCAAACATACCATCAGAACAAAGGGCAGTCTTCCTACCCCATTCCAAGGTTTAGGATGAAAGGATTTTGAGGTATTAAAACTCCATAAGGAGAAAATATGATGAAGTCACCAGTGCAAAGTGAAAGAATCTAACACTGCAAAACCCTATTAGCTATCACACAAACATGATTGATGCAGAATACAAAAATTTGGATGAACACGATTGCCAGATTTAGTCACCTAACAAATAATTGATTGCGACTCTGATCCCTATCTATCTATTACAAACCAATCACTCAGATACATCATACTACAGAATTCACCATGATTCCTCAAACCAAAAGAACACAAGTGCATCAAAGTTAACAAAATCTGCTGGGGTCCACTGATAGTAGCAGCTCCATATATTTTTCTCCACCAAATCAAAACCTTTGATAGACTAACAAGAAGCAAGCAAAGGAACAACAACGAAGAATCGTATAAACTAGATCAAGAACACGCAGATTTTGCAGAGAGACTAGTGAGATCAAGAACGAAGAAGAAGAAAGAAACTAACCAGAAGGCAATTTGGCAATGTTGGGTGGAATCATTGGATGGTGTTGCTTACCATCATCGCTTTCCTTTTCGGGATTCAGCTTCTCCTCTTCCCTCGAATCGAAACAGGGAAAACAGCCCATATCCTCAAATCAAAAACCCAATCTTCAAAATCCTTCTACTACACCCCAAAAACACAAAAGGAAATGGAAGAATTGATCTCAAAGGCTCCCAGACTCGATCACAAACTCACAACCCAATCCAATCGAATTGTCACAAAGAAATCACGTCATGGGTCAGTCCACAGAACCTTCCCCCCGATCGGGTAGGTGAAAAACGAAGAAGAAGGCAGAGAAAGAGAGAGAGAGAGGGGAAGTAGAAGAACGTGTAGAACTGCGAATACAGGATGTTGAAGAGACGAGGGCGAGGGTGGTAGGCGAATAGGCGAGGTTTCGTGTGAGATAGATTGATTGACTGGGTGTGTACAGTGAAAATGAAAAGGAGTTGGGAGAAGAGCCGGCTTTGGTTTGAACTCTACTCGGCATCGGGCACGCCCATGTAATTACAGCAACCCCATTTATTCAATTAACACAAACAGAATAAAAAATGGGCGGAAAAAATCCCATCTCAATTCACAGCTACTGTGCGGGTGTGTGCGCTATGAATGTTTGAATAGTGATCCAATTATGCATCATGCCCCTGGATGGGTTTGATGGGTGGTGATGTTAGGAGATGGAAAGCGGGTTGAATTGAAGCAGTGATAAAAGAGCGACGTCAAATGGCGGGACTGGCGGCGGATTCCACATTCAACTGATGTGTTTGTTTATTGAAAGTTTCACTTTTTGTTTTATTTTTTTTACTTAAATTATCTGTTCCTCAATTCTTTTCTTTTCTCGCGTTCTTCTGACGCTGATTTCAAATCCACCAATCGCCACAATGTCCACCATCGCCATCACCATCCCCTTCATTTCTCGTTTTTGCTTTTATTTCCAAAGTATATATTTGAGTGATTGATTTTGGTTTGGTGTTCGGAATAAGTGAAGACATTCAGTAGCAGTAATTTTTAATTAAAAAAAAAA